GCGTGTGTCAACTGTGCCACCCATCGGCCGTGCACGCCGCTGCTCATCTGAGCCTGGAGACCCTGACTGCCTTCGTCCTGCCGTTTGGAACAGTACTCAGCTGCTACGGCGTGACGCTGACGCGTTTGCGGGGCGCGCGCTGGGGCTCTGGGCGACACGGCACACGGGTGGGACGTCTGGTGAGCGCCATCGTGCTGGCCTTTGCCTTGCTCTGGACCCCCTACCACGCGGTCAATCTCTTGCAGGCGGTGGCTGCGCTCGCTCCACCGGAAGGGCTCCTGGCCAGGCTTGGAGGGGCAGGCCAGGCGGCGCGCGCTGGAACTACAGCCTTGGCATTTTTCAGTTCCAGCGTCAACCCGGTGCTCTACGTCTTCACTGCGGGGGATCTGCTGCCCCGGGCGGGGCCCCGGTTCCTCACTCGGCTCTTTGAGGGCTCTGGGGAGACCAGAGGGGGCAGCCGCTCTAGGGAGGGTACCATGGAGCTCCGAACTACACCGAGGCTGAAAGTAGTGGGGCAGGGCAGGGGCAATGGAGATCCTGGAGGCGGAGGCAGGATGGAGAAGGACAATCAGGAATGGTAGCCAAGGCCTCAAACTCGGGACTTCCCTTCCGCTTTCCATTGTTCCTGGAGCTCTAGGGTAGTTGGAGGGATCCTCCTCGGATTGCAGTTTGGGTTGGGCTGGACAGGTTTACTCCATAGGCCCAGATTATTCCAAACCATGGGATTGTGTGGGTGACTGTGGCCTATATTCAAAACTGGGGCTTGCAGTACAGCCTGGATTCAAGTTCCAGAAATGCTTACCTGTTGCCAGCAGCTATTCTTGTGAAATAGACGGGGAAGCCATCAACTAATGGCTTAGATGTGTTCCTGTTAGTGGTTAGTCATATGCCTGTGCTGTACTGAAGCCACCTGCTCTCGGCTGGGCAAGGCCAGGACTAGACAGTGCCGGTCTTCAGTGGCTTTCTGTCCTGCCTCCCCATCCAGGGGACCCGATTTCCCAGACCCGTTTCTAGAAGCACTGTGGATTTTGGATAGGGATGTATAAAATCCATTCTTAGAGGCACGTAGGAGGAGGAAGTAAATCTGTGCAGTATAAAAGGGAAGGGTTCTGCTTGTCTTACAGTCAGCGCAGGGAGAGGGAGGCACAGGGCTGAAGGGTAGTACAGGAGCCTGGGGCTGCAAGACTGAACCTCTCCCTCTATCCCCCTGCTCACCCCTACACCCCTCCAAAAGCCACCAGGCCTGTGGGGAGCCTCAGGAGCCAGCACACTTTGCAAGAGGAAGCATGAGGATTGATGTGGAGGCCATGTGGAGAATGGCTAGAAGATAGGGAAAACTGAAAGAACCATTCTGGAAGGTGGCGCCTTTCCTTCCTGTCTTTTTCTCTCTGCTGCCTCCCTCTTCCCAGGATGCTAGCTGTCCCTAGCCTGTCCCCATTGCTTCCCAGCCTCCACCTCTGGACTCTCCCTATGATTAGATCTAGAACCTGAATGACCCTTTTGATTTGGGTGACAGTAGAATGCACTTTTTTTTTCTTTAGGGGACAATGCGGACACACATATGACCGGTCCATCTAGTTGTCTCAGAACATTCTTACTAGCCCTCAATTTCTTATTCCTAGACCCTTCGGTCCCCAGCCAACTGAGGTGGCTGACCTCCCAAATGGTTACTCTGGGCTCTTCTTCAATGACTTTTCTCACCCTTCAAGCAGAGGCCAAGAGAAAAAAAAGAGAAAGCCAGTCTCCAGGGTCATGCTAGAAACACTGGAATTGGTGCTGAAGTGACCTCTGACCTAGGGAGGAAGTATGTTTAGAGTGCCTGGTCTCTGGGGAGACTGCTCCCAAAGGAAGATGGAGCACGCTGAGTGAGGGAAAGTGCAGCCCACCGTCTGCTCAAAACGGTTCTGGATGGCCCTAGAGCTCTGATCCAGAAGCTTCTGTCCACGAACACAGAATTCTTCCTAGCCTGGCATTCTGGAGTAGAGGTTCCCGAACTTCCTGTTTTAAGTGCTTCACCTTACACAGCCGGTGTGGTCAGAGAGCTCTTCCTCAACTCCGCCTTCAGTTCGCGTTGTGGTTTCAGCCTTTTTACATCATATCCTCTGCTTGACAGTTACTGGGTCAGTGCTGATCTGGCTTTCCTCAGTGTACAGCAAGTGAGGGCACTGGAAAACATAGGGGACCTCGATGGCCACCAGTAAGCTTCTTATCTTTCCTGGCAAGTGGCAAGTTAAAAGGCGAACAGCAAGGCTGTAAGGATGTAGGGAGGAAGTGGTACCAATCCTTGCCTAGCACCCGCTGAGAAAGTCCATCAGGGTTACTATGTGGTAAATGGGCAGGGGAAAGGGAAGAAAGCCATATTCTTCTCTCAAAAAGAATGGAGAGGTGGCTAACCTGTAATGGGAGGTGCTGGAGATGGCTTTGTCCCTACATCCTCACCAAGATCATGGTCTGACCTGAAGGCAAGAATAGGCTGCTTCCCCCTTCATCCACTTTTTGCATATTCTCATTGACCCCCCCCCCCCGTGTGTGTTGATCTAGCGCTCTCTCAAGCTCATATAACCTAGGGTGGCATTGACACCAATATGTTGTTTTTATATCATGATGTCACCTAACCCACAACAATACATAGACCAATACATATGATTCCCGTGAATCTAAAAACTGTACCGTGTTCACATTTTTAACATGAAGTACAAAGATATTATTTTTTAAACCAGCACTCTTATTCTGAGCCCATGTCCTTGCTTCCTTCGCCTGTGATATAATCCCTAACTCTGTTCACCTCTCCAGTCTAGACCTGCATTTTTAGACCACACCCCAGCCAGCTCACTCCTGACACCCCTCTGTTCTAGTTCACCAGCCTTTCCTGGGTACTCCTCAGTTAGCTCCACCCCAGGAGCGGTCCTCCCTCTGGGCTGCTCTGGAACACAGACTGTCCCTCCTTAACGGTGAAGGAGGGTGTGGGGCTTTTGTACAGCCCTCACCCTCAGAGATGCATCTTCCCCCTCCTCTGCTCTGTGGTACTTCCTCTCTGGCTGATTTAACTGGCAGATTTAGAAGCAGGACCAAGACCTAGCACTAGGACAGATTCAGGAATTCTCTGTCCGACCACTTTGCCCTGACCCTAGACGTGGCACTGACTTCTGATCAGCATCTGGAAAACCTTGTAAGTATCCTAGGAATTGGATGGTGTGTGTGTGGTGTGTGTGTGTGTGTGTTTGTCAGTGTGTTGTATATGAGTGTTTGAGCGTGAATATGAGTGTGACAGTGTGTTGTGTGTGAGTTTGTGTATGTGAGTGTGTCCGTGGTGTGTGTGTGTGTGTGGCAGGTGTAGCTGGGGAGACGGTGAGAAAGAAACTCCAAAGAAAGTCTGACCTGTGTAAAAGGACTTGTTCTTAGTGTCTGTCCACTAACCCCGCCCTGTCCCAATCCTCCCTGGTGCAGGCTGGTCAGCTCTTGAGAGAGTGGGTAAGTGAAGCGGCCTCTCAGGAGAGGAGATGGAAGAGCTGGTCTCTCACGGGATTCAGCCGTGGGGAGGAAAGTCGCCCAGTCTGGTGCTGGGTTCCCGGGTCCCTTAAGGGAAAGACGGTGAAATGCGGCTGTTGCTGTTTATTTTGCAACAGGGCTTGTGGAGAAGAAGGGGCCCCACAGGCCAGTTAGGAAATTAGTCTTCCTATTCAACCAGGTCTCTTGAAGACAACGGGGTTGACAGTGAGGGTGTGGTATATATTTGGAGGCGATTTTGGAAATCAGAGTATTCATATTCATGTGATGAGGTGTCAAGAATTCTTTGACTTTCTCTCATGGGTGTGCCCACTTCCTACTCTCTAGGTCCTTTTGATGGCTCCAAACACTACATCTCCTGCGGCACCTTCCTCTCCTGGTGGCATGTCTCTGTCTCTGCCTATTGCCCTGTTGTCTGTGGCCCTGGCTGTGGGGCTTCCTGGCAATGGCTTTGTGGTGTGGAGCATCCTGAAGAGGATGCACAAACGCTCCGTCACCGCCCTGCTGGTGCTGAACTTAGCTCTGGCCGACTTGGCTGTGTTGCTCACTGCTCCCTTTTTTCTACACTTCCTGGCTCGACGCACGTGGAATTTTGGAGTGACCGGTTGTCGCCTGTGCCACTATGTTTGTGGAGTAAGCATGTATGCCAGCGTCCTGCTTATCACCATCATGAGTCTGGACCGCTCATTGGCAGTGGCCAAGCCCTTTGTGTCCCAGAAGGTGCGCACTAAGACGATTGCCAGATGGGTGCTGGCAAGCATCTGGGTGGTGTCTTTTCTGCTGGCTACACCGGTCATTGTGTACCGTTCCGTAGAAGAACGGTTCAACAGGACTCTGATCTGCCGGCCGTCTTATCCCAGCGATGGGCATATGGCCTTCCATCTGCTTTTTGAAACCATCACTGGCTTCCTGCTGCCCTTTCTGGCGGTGGTGGCCAGCTACTCTGACATCGGACGCAGGCTGCAGGCTCGGCGCTTCCGTCGCAGCCGCCGCACCGGCCGCCTGGTGGTCCTTATCATCCTGGCCTTCGCCGCCTTCTGGCTGCCTTACCACCTGGTGAACCTGGTGGAAGCCGGCCGCGCGCTGGCGGGCTGGGACAAGACCGACTCTGTGGGGAGGCATCTGAAGATGGCCCGCAACGTCCTCATCGCTCTGGCCTTCCTGAGCAGCAGCGTGAACCCGGTGCTGTATGCGTGCGCGGGCGGCGGCTTGCTCCGCTCAGCGGGCGTGGGCTTCGTAGTCAAGCTGCTGGAGGCCACTGGCTCCGAGGTGTACAGTACCCGCCGCGGGGGCACCCTGTGCCAGTCCCAGAAGGCCACACCTGCTTGTCCTGAGCAAGGTCCCACCGAAGCCTCCATGACCTCCTCCACCCCCTCCTGAGTGAGGTGAACTGTAGTAGGTTGGTCTGACCCACTTCTGTATCTGGAGAACAGGTTGGGGACTGGACGCAAGAGGAAAAGAGGGAAGGGTGGGGGGAGTCAGGGCAAAGAGACTGTATGCTTTGGCCTGGCTTCTGCAGGCAGCTTTACGATTAAAACTAAAGTCTGAAATAAGCTTAAGCCTGTGAATGAGGTGTACATTATGGGGCACTGGGGGATGTTTATTGGTTTCCAGAAGGGACCACTCTGGTGGGGTCCCTCTCAACAGTTCCCTGTGGTTTGCAGTTTTGGAAGGAACACATGGGCAGATAGAGCTCTCTACCTTCCTAATTCGGAAATAGATGACCTGCAGATCCGACTTAGAAAAACACACTACTGACTCCTAAAGGAGATATTAAAGGGGTTCGTTGTGTGGCCCTAGAGTCATGACTCAAGGCACCTCCTAAGAAAACCAGTTCTTGTGAAATGTCTTCCCAGAAGTTGGTGGTACATATCCTTGATGATGTAAACCTAACACCCTCTCAGGAGAGTCCTGGGAGAAGGTTTTCCATCTTTTCATCTCCCAAAGAAGTCTGGGGACTCAGGCATCAAATCCCATCTTCCAGAATTCTGTGCATCAGTACCTGCCATCTCTCAGAAGCCATGCCCAATCCCGTAAACAAGATGTTTAGGAAGACAGTTCGGGAAGAAACTGTGCCACTGAGGAGCAAGGAGGCGATTTCCAGCTACCTCAGCAGCTTCTGATCCATGGACTGATTTCAGATGCCCAGGAAACGTTTTATTGAAGATCTTAAAGGAGGGGTTGCTGAGGTGCCTAGGGTGCTGAGGGAGATCCAGTTCTTGTCAGGTCTGTGTTCAGGAAGTACGTACAGAGTTGCCCTTTGCCTTTGACCTTGATGACACCCCGGCTGTAGCATATATACCCCAGGGATTGCAGGGCCCTAGCTGTCTCCTCAGTCACCTGCAATTGGAAGAAGGGTAAGGGAGCGTAGCCTTTCCGTGTTCCCTCCCCCACCCCTACATCATAGTTCTCTCACTTGGATCTTGCCAAGAACTCCTGTACTCTCCATGCGGCTGGCCACATTCACTGTGTTCCCCCAGATGTCATATTGTGGCTTCTGCGCCCCAATCACTCCTGCTACTACTGGTCCATGGTTCAACCCTGATAAGAAATGTGGTAAGGAGGGACTTTGATGGGGGCGAACTTTGAAGAAGGAGATTAAAGGAGATGGTTTAGTAAGAGTCTTAGAGGTTGGTGGAGAGAGGATTGGGGAAGAAAAGGGAAGGGAAGGATGAATCTCTTAGCTCTCAGATCGTGGGCTTATGTTTCAGGCTAGAGAGCAAGTCTAGAGGGAGGGTGTTCAGGGATGAGCTGGAGAGCAGCTAAGGAAGGTCTTAGGGAGGGGAGGGGAGGTACCCCCTTGCCCCAGCAAAGGAGGCCCCTCACCCACACGCAGGCGGAAGTTATTGAATGAGTGCTTGTTGATGATATCCAGCTTAGACCCCAGGGCCACTGCAAATTCCACCATGGTGCCCAGATGGCTGCAACTTCGATCGACGTCCTGGTAAATGGGTCCACCCACCATGATGGGCAGAGAAATAAGTCCGGCTCATGAAAACGCCCACCAGCGGAAGCCCCCCAGGAGGGTTGGCAGGAAGGGGTGGCTGTACCTGTTGTGTATCCTGTCCAGACGTGGCGTTCAAGCCTGTGGCTGCCATGTAGGTGCTGCCGATAGTTTTGATCTTCTCCACTCCACTGAACTTTGGCTTGGAGAGCAGCTGTAGAGAAAGAGGCCGTGTCCCCCTCTCTCTTGCTTTCACCACTCCTTCTCCAAAAGCCTGCCCAGGCCACTGGAGGCTAAAGGACCACGCAGGGCTGGAGATGGTGGTGGGAAGGAGGTAGTTGGCAGCGTGCAATGAAGGGGTAAAGCTCAGAGGACGGGGAGGGTTGGAGAGGTTGGGGAGTAGACGTGGCCGAATGGTCAGGAGAGCAAAATGCCAGCAAGAGCTGGTGGGGGGGGGGGATCCAGAATTTGGAACATGGGGTCTTGTATCGCACCTCATCAAAATCAGCAATTATCTCATTGAGCAGCCGCAGACACTCCAGGCCCTCATGGTTGATGTTGGATTCAGAGTAGAATTCCTTAAAGTCCGGGACCGATGCGAAGAGGACACAAACGCATTCATACGACTGGTGGTAGAGATCCTGCGAACAGGAGGGGCAGACGCTTAGCCGCTGGGCCAGCAGCTTCAGTCCTCACCCAAGGGAGTAAGTCTGAAGAGGGATGAGCCAGAGAGCAGCTACTGCACGCCTCAGGGTGTGAACAGGAGGTAGAAAGGTGGCCCCATTTGCAAATTTGGAGTTAAGCTTTTTGAATTAAATAAGTTTATTGGTTTTATGTATTATGCGTGTGTGTGTGTACATGCCAAAGCATGTATGTAGCGCTCAGAGGAGAACTTTCAGGAGTTAGTTCTCTCCTTCCACTTTGAGTGTGTTCCAGGCTGTGAAGTATTCTTTACCTTCTGAGCCCTAGAGAACTGGATTTTTATTTTAATTAATTAAAATTTGCTTGAATTGACACATATGGCTAACAGCTACCATATAGGGTGTTGTAGAGCTACAGGGATGGGTGGCGTGCTCTTCAGACCATTCCCACCACTGTTTGACGAGGGCTTCCGAAAGCCATGACATGGCCATGACTTGGAAAGATGCTTGCCTTCTCCTCCCTCACTCCGACCCCCTGGCCATGGTCCTCCTGCCATGGTAGGCAAACTCTGCCGCCGAGATATAAGCCCAGAAGTTGTTCTTTCTAAACAAAAACTGGAAGCACAGATTTTGTGGCCACCAAGGACAAGGCCCAAGACTGTGCTCTGACATGGCAGGGGTGTGGGTGACCACTAATCCACTGTCTGGGGACCCCAGAAAGGACGGGAGAAGACCCAAGATTCTCATCCAAGCTCAGTTGCATCTGGGCCTCTGGAGTATGGGGTTGGGAGTCACCTCATTGCGCCGGTTCTGGCCGATGAACTGGGGGGCCACGTGTGCCGGGAGTACATTCTCCAGGAGGAGCCGGGTCAGGTTCTCCATTGTCTCAGTCTCCTCTCGCTCCCGCCTCAGCTTCTTCTTCCACAGGAAGTCCAGGCGGCAGTAATACTCATTCTAGGGTGACAGAGCAGTGTCCCCAAGACCCCCAGCCAGCTTAGAGATAAGGTTTAAGGTACAACTGTCCTGGAGGGAGGTGGCTTTTAAGATCTATTTCAAATTAGGTTATGCAGAACGAACAATAGACATTTTTCATAGCCATGGTTTTTCTTAGATTTGGGGATAGGAGAGGGGGGTGCTGGTGAGAACCTGAGGGGCTTAGAGAGGGAAGAAGTAAGAGTCGGGACACTCTCTTGGAAGTTTCAAATGGACATACTACTCGGGCTCAGCCCTGAAGATGAGACAGAAAAGTTACCAATATGAGAACCCAGCCTCAGCCATTCACACGGAGGCCCCAGAGGACCGAGCTGAGAGATATACCTGCCGAGCCAGGACAAGAAGCGTGAAGAAGAAGATGAAGAAGTAGATAGCTCCCATCAGTTTGGGTTCCTTCAGTACCCCTGGCCTGAGAGATCAGAATCAAGATTGTTGTTCCTTGCTCTGCCCCTTCCTGATGGCCTCCTTCCTGCTCCCAGTGCCCAAAGAGCCCTCAGCACCCCTCCCTTTTGCCTTGTGGGTGGTTCAAGTCTGCGAGGCAAGGGCAGCTCTGTGTCCTGTCTTACTCACTCTCCCGAGGGCTTGAGCAGATGTGCCCTGTGAGTGTTCTTACCTGGAGTCCAAAGGGCTTTGATAAAGCTGGGCGATGAGGCAGTCGGACAACCAGGCGTAGGAGTGCAGAAATAGGGAAGAAGATGCCACCAGCCACAGCAGAAGTAGCAGCAGTTTCAGTTCAAAGCTCATGTGCAGGAAAACGGAGCAGGAGAGGAAACCCAGCACGCAGCAATGCATGGAGTACTGTGGGCCGGGCAACGCAGTCAGAAGCATCCCCTGGAGAGCACTGGGAGAACGCCCACAGCTCCTGTTCTCCCAGGGCACGGGGCATACCGGGTCAATCGGGATATCATTCATGAAAACAGACACTGGCTATGCCTACTGTCCTGGATGGGGTGTTCTTTAGCTTATGAGTTGGCAGACTGACGAGGAAGGGTATGGGGAGAGAGACTCAGGGCCGTACAGAAACACTCACCGGGATGCTGATGAGGGGCAGGGATCCTGGCAGCTCCCAGGAAGCGTTGGAAGCCATGGAAGATGCATTGGAAGCCAGGAAAAGGCAGTCTGACGGCACTGGCAAGAAGAGCTGCAGAAGGAGATGGGTGGAGGGCAGGTGAGCTCCTTGGGCTGCGACTGAGCCAGCAATGGCTCAGAGCCAAACTCCTCTAAAGAGGCATATTCTACTCCTTCTGACGGATGAGCGAGCTTCCGATGGGTCCTTACTGGGAGGAGGGGCTGTGAGAGATGTCACGGATACTAGTACGCCATCAAACCAGTGTCAGTTCTTGTCAACTACTTAACCCTGCAGGCTGCCTTTCTTCCTTCCCTCGCTCTTTTTAATTTGTCAGGGGGATAACTCCTATTGAGTTCTAGGAACAATTATAAAAATTCTGTAAACTTCAGCCAAGTAAGCTAAAAATGATGAGTGCCTACAGAGGAAAACAAAAGAACATTCAACAAAGTGTTAACCATGAGTATGCCTGGAGGGTAGGATACACACACACACACACACACACACGCACACACACACATACACACATACACACACATACTCACACACACACGCACACACACACACATACACACACACATACACACACATACTCACACACACACATACACACGCACACACACACATACACACACACACACACACACACACACACACACACACACACACACACACACCGCCCAGCATCTTTTGGTCTTTCTTCAGCTGTCATTTTAGATCCAGGGATTCCCTTCCAACCCCACAGGTCCAGTATGTCCTGATGGTGGTAGATAGAAACCCCCCCCCCTTTGTCCTCACCAGGCTGGCGATGGCCATGGTGAACACCAGGAGGATGGTGGCAGTGCCCAGCGCTACTCGAAGTCCTGGCCGTGTGGCCACCAGGACAGACAGTGCAGGCAGCCAGTGCAACATTTTGGGACCTTTCTGGACACACTTCTGTGGAAGGAGAACAGGTGTCATAACTACAGGGCTGGGGCTCCTTCTTCAGGCCTGGTCATGGCGAGGGCTCCAGCTTGTCACTCCCCCTTTTCCCAGACCTCCTTACCGTCAGGTGCTCTGAGAAGCAGACGAAGAGGAGGAGAAGGAAGAGGAGGAAGGTGATGCTATAGGTGATGGCCAGAGCTGGGGGCCTAAGAGAAGACAAGAGGGGGGCTTTGAAGCGCCAGAATGAGCTCCGGGGAGGGGGCTGTGCTTGCCATCTGGTTGGGAGGTGGGGTTGGGGAAGGGGAGTAGTGTCAGGGATGCAGAGTAGCTGCTGAGGAAGGGCGTAATGTTCTGGTGTTCTGGGAACTAACAGTCTAGAGCAGAGTGTCAGCAGAACAGGAACTGATAAGGTTGGAACAACATTGGAGGGAGCAGGGGATTCACAACCGTGGCCATGGCTGAATCAGCCTCTGGGCTCAAACTCTTTGATCGCTGAATGTTGAGCGAGACCTTATTCTGCCAAGCAGCGGCCTAGGTTTGAGAGCCTATATTATAACTCAGTCATTTGCTGTGAGAGTTGGGCTTGGTGATGAGAACACAACGCCCTTCGTGGGGATGTTGCTATTGTTCAAAGATACAGGTAATTGAAAGTGGTCTGTATGTACAATGTTTTTCCAGTAGTGAGGACTGAACCTAAGGCCTCATTAAATGGATGCCACTCTCTGCCACCCAGTTACCCCCCTAGCCCCAGGATGTACATAAAGATGAGGACTGTGATTACCTCCAGAGGATGTGGGTGAGTGTCTGAAACTCGGGGGAAGGTGCCAGCAGAAGAAAGTGTAGGTCATGGGTCAGGAAGGGCAAAGGGTTCCGTATGGGAGAGCCAGTGCTGTTGTTGCCTGGCGCGATCTCACCTGCTTGTCACCAGCATTTGGATAGTGAAGTTGCATAGAAACACCAGGAAGGTGCAGGCTGTGTAGTACTTGAAGGCAGGGAGTGCAGAGAGCCGATACTGGAAGCAAAGGGGTCCATGGAGACAAGGTATTGGTGTTGTCCATGGCTGGGGAGGAAGCAAGCCTGGACAACAGGTGGGTCTCTGGCCTCATCCTCCACCCCTCGGTTCATCTAAGTAGCCCCCACACATTCTTCAAGGAGATGTCCCCACTCTTGTTATTGCCTACACAAATACCTCAGCCTACAGATGACATTTTTTGTCATAACCTGGGTTGGCCTCAGGATGACCTTGAACTCGGGATCCTTCTGCCTCACTTCCTAAATGCTAGGGTTAAGTACCGTGATCCCTGGCATGACTTTCCTAAGAGAGACACAATCCCCTCATCCTAGGGTCCAAAACTATGCAGACCTGGGAAAGACAGGTAGGGTGAGAAGTCCTAAGCCTTCCCGGGGCCAAGAGCCAAGGCTGCGAAATCTTTTGTTGCTCTGTTCTCCGTCCCACCTGCTTCTCCATTTCCGGATCTCTGAAGTACAGGGTCAGGAGGTTGAAGTCCTTCGACTGCTTCCACTGTCTGGTGTGAGGCGGGAGGTGGCGAGCACCACAGAGGATGGGGGAGGCCGGGGCAGAACAGGTGGAGGTGGTCGTGAGGGTCTTTCTCTAGGAAAGCTCCCCACTTCTCGCCAGCAACCCCCAGCCCTCTGTTTTCCGTACTTCTGAGAGTTGAGCTGCTCGATGACCTGGAAGAACTTGGCGTCCCCGGTGTCCAGTTCATCATCTAGTCCCCGAGGGGCACGACTCCTGCACAGTGGCAGCCAAGCCAGTTACCACAAAGATCCTCAAAAGTGCCCAGATGAAGCAGTCCCCAGGGAGGATTCACCCAGTGAGCCCCACTGTCAAAGGTGAGGTTTCCTCACCGGTCCAGGCTCCGCTGGGTGCCAAAGGCCTTTTCCTGTTGAAAGAACACATGATGGGGCTGTGGTGAATAATCCCCCTTCACGAAGACAGGCTGTAAACCTGACTGAATTTTCTACCTCTGTCCTTGACCATGTGTGCCTGGCCTGGCTGCTTCTGCTGCTGCTAATGGCCTGCTTCCTACTCTGAACCAAATCCTACTGACCCAGGAAGGATCATTTCAAATTCTATTTCCTCCTAGCTCTATAGACTTCCAGGGTCCTTAAAGGCTGGCTCTTGGAGATCATCTATTTTTTTTTTGTTTTTGTTTTTCAAGACAGGGTTTCTCTGTAGCTTTTGAGCCTGTCCTGGAACTAGCTCTTGTAGACCAGGCTGGCCTCGAACTCACAGAGATCCGCCTGCCTCTGCCTGGGATTAAAGGTGTGTGCCACCACCGCCCGGCTGGAGATCATCTTTTAACTGGGCAATCCTTCATCCTATATTTGGGTGCCTGTTAGTTGTGTCTCCTTAAAGACTGCATATTCCAGGGCTGGGGAGATGGCTCAGTTGCTCTTCCAAAGGTTCTGAGTTCAAGTCTCAGTAACTATGTGGTGACTCACAACCATCTAATGGGATCTGATGCCCTCTACTGGCATAAAGTCATATATGCAGATAGAGCGCACGTATACGTAAAATAAATAAATAAACCTAAAAAGACGGCAGATTCTAAAGGTAGGGACTTTCCCATTCACTCTTGAATGTTAACAAATCCATTGACTTGAATTGAAGTGACTATGCAGAAAATATTGATCCCTCTCTGACTCTTTGTTGGGTCAGCTATGCTGAGCTGAGAGTTGGCCAAGGTAGTTAACAAAGTACAGAGAAGAAAGGAAAGGGAGGGATTCATCTTGATTACAGTCATACAGTCATTCTCTTCTTCACCAAAAGGCGCACACAATATTTGCGAAGTTATAAAAATGGCCAGGTGTAGAAGAGCAATTACTGAGGGAGAAAGGGAATTTCTGTGCCCCCCAGACGGGTACAAGAAGTCTGTTGACTATCCTTTCCTATCCTCCTTGGTTCATTTGATGGTAACAGGATTACAAACCAAAACCGGTATACAGGAGAAGCAGAAGGGGAGAATAAGATTCTCAGGCCGGGAGGATGGTAGAGCCTCGATATGAGCCCAGGGCTGCTTATATGTCCAGGCCTAGCTTTTGTCAACCGACTCCCTTCTGCCTTACGGTACATGAAAGTAGGGGGGAAAATCTACTTGTTTCTGTCTTTTCAAGAATTTTCCTAGTGGCTGACACAGAGCATGAAGGTAGGTGTGGCAGCATGTGATTCCAGCACCCAGGAGGCCTGAGGCAGGAGGATGGCTTCCAGCTGGGCTATACCGTGAGGTCTTGTCTCAAAGCAACAAAACAGTGCTAGGATCAATGTATGGGTGGAACTTTTCAGCACTGTGCTGCTCTACCACCCCCAAACCCCACAATGTTAAGAGTAAGCAGATGCAGGCCTGGAGAGATGGCTCAGAGTTAGAGCTCTGGCTGCTCTTCCAGAGGTCCTGAGTTCAATTCCCAGCAACCACATGGTGACTCACAACCATCTGTAATGAGATCTGGTGCCCTCTTCTGGTGTGCGGACATACACACAAGTAGAACACTGTGTATATAATAAATGAATAAATCTTAAAAAAAGAAAGAAAGAAAGAGTAAGCAGATGTTTGCCTAGAATACATGTAGCACTGGGTTTGATCCCCGGGGTGTAGTGGACCACATCTGTAATCTCCACTTGGGAGGTGGAGATCACAAACTCCAAGGACACCTTGGCTACATAGTGAGTTCAAAGCCAGCTTAGGACCCATGAGACTGGGAGGAAGAGGGGAAGGGAGGGAGGGAGGGAAGGAGTAGGTTCATTTTGGGAATCATTAATATTTGATTGAATCCCTGGGTCTTCAGGGGTCAATTTCTAGGCTGATGAGGCCCTGCTCCAATCAAGAAATAACCCTCAAGCAAGCTGTGCCCCTCACACTGAGCCTTCACAGTAGCCCTCCGGTGGGCCTTTCTATTGCGAGAATTGCACCCAAGCTTGTCTCGTGATCTCTGAGCTTGTGACAGACTCCACGCAACATTCCTTCTGCATCACGGAGACCTCATTTTGCAACAGGGTGTGGGCTCTTGGAGCCTTACTTTCTCTTCCTCCTGCTCATTTAACCACGCCCCCTTTTTAAAAACCCTTTTGACCTCTTCCTTCACTAGACTGACATATGGAATCCTTCCTAGAGCTACTGCTGCCAATGCCCCCCTCATGCCCACTGCTTACTGAGATCTAGAACCTGTTTCTGCTGGATTACAAAGGAAGGAGAGAGGATGGAATCCGGAAGTCTCTGAAGACGCCTCAGAAATCCAGCCAGGCAGAGCTAACACTGCTCTGGGGGAGTGTCAGAAAGGCGGCTGCAGTATGAGAAAGTGGGAGCAGATATGAGAAAGATAGGGTGATGGGGAGAGTAGGTTGAAATACAAGCCTAGGCGGGAGAGATTTAAGAGCCTTCGCGACAGGTGGGTCACAGGTTAGCTCTAAGTCTTACACGTAGGCTCACCAGTGACAGGCCCTGTTCTAGCTTCACCCAGACAAGCTGTAAGCCCACTTCTTCCCCTCTGCCACTGCTTTGCCTGTTTGCAACGTCTTTCTTCTTCAAGGCCATGAGCGAGTTCCCTGCCACCTCGTTGTAATAGTGTCTGAGCGCTGAGGAGTAGAGGCAACAGCCACCTCGCTCACAACTTAACTTTGGGAAGGATGAGAGTACAGTAGTGTAGTAACGGATCTTGACAGAGGCATTTGCTGGCGGGATGGGTGTGCCGAGTCTGGAGGAAGTGGGGTCACCTTTGGGTGGCCGGGGAAGGGAAGATTGCGGTGCACTGGGCATGGTGACAGGATCTTTCATTATCTCGGAGGTGAGCTGGGAGGGCAAGAGGAGGTCTGAACCACTGACCGGGGCAACCAGGCAGTTCAAGGCTGTCACACATTACCAAGTGATTCATTGGGGGGCGGGGAGCCTGGGAGTGGAGCCTCGTGACAGTGGAGGCCGTTTTTCCTCAGGCACAGGGGTTTATAACGGAAGTGTACATACCGGAAGTGGAGTGGAGGTGGATAGAGGGCTGTCAACATGGCTTAGGTGGGCGAAAGGCTTGGCTGCACCCCAAGACTCCAGATAACGAGTCATCAGTAGTGACGGGCGCATCTTGTGTCCCTCCAAAGAAGACAGTAATCCTTTTGCAGTGACCTTCTCATCTTCCTCCTCAGCCTGGGACATGTGAAGTCTGAGAGTAAAAACGAGGTATTTCCCTACCCTCCCACGCTGCTTATAGGCTTGTCCCATGGCAACTCAATTTCTGGCATGGAAGGAAAGGCTGGTCTTGCTGACTAGGTGGTTTGCTTGGTCCACTCTGCGGGGTCCAAGCTGGGCTTTTACCCGAGGATCGATGACCAGGTATGTAGGTTCGCCTAGCTCCCGAAGGTATGGGTCTCGGTGTTCCATGTCTGCACTCTCCACAGCATACGCCCCTGCCAGCAGAGCCAGGGTAGCCCCTGTGATGTGCACTCGTCTGGAAGGAAGAAGCAGTGAAAGTCAGGAGGGACAGCCCTCTAAACCTTCAGTTTCTTTCAAAAACCATTCCCAGACCTGTGCCTTCAAGAAGGGCCCCATGTTACAGGGAGTGCCTCCCAACACCCCCCCCCAATCTCCCCGAACTTGTCTTAAGAGACTGTAAACAGAGGAGTAGCAAGTGGAAGAGTCAATTGACCTTTTGTTGTAGCTCCAAGCTCCACGTCTTACCCTGGCACGCCGCCAGCTTCCATGTGATTGGCCAATGTGACGTCATGGGACCAGACATCATACTGCCACTTCTGTAGCCCGATGACTCCACAGAGCACACTGCCCGAGTGCACGCCCACACGCATGTTGATGTCCACACCGGTGGCTACCCGGATTTTCCTGAGCCGGGTGTAGGACAAGCTTAGTCCTGCCCGGCTCCTCCTTTTCTCAAGGAGTACTGTGTCATCCTGCCTCCCACATTCCCTCCAACAGCCGTGTCTCTGAATTTCTCCCGCTCGCACCCCCAAACTGACCTGATGGCCCGGCACATGTCCAGGCCCATGCGCACGCAGTTGACGGCGTGGTCTGGCAGCGAGAGTGGCAGCCCGGAGACACAGTAGTAACAGTCTCCCAGGATCTTGATCCGCATGCATTCGTGCTCCTGGGAGTATGTGTGTGGGTGTGTGGAGGAACCTGGTTAGAGGCCAGAGGGGTAGGAGGGCGTTGGGAAAGGTGGGGAGTAACTGAGGTATTCCTGAAGAACTTCAGGATTGGAAGTGTCTGGGTCAGATCTATGGCCTCCCTTGGAATGGGACTGACTGAGGTCTCCTGTACAAGGTCTTTAGCAGAAGGAATAATCAAAGGCTGGAGGGTCTATGGTTCTCCCCAGTTTGGGTATACGTAGGGTACATTCATATCGGTCTATGATAATAGTGTCAGGATTGGGGGACATAGAGGCAAGACCCCAAGCTAGGATGTCTGATTAGGTGCTAAACTGAGTTGTCCAAAGCAGAAATTTCTCCCAGAAGGGCTGCCCAAGATCAGAATGCCTGAAAATCTCGGTGCATATCCAGAGGCTTTATGCTAGGGATGTCTGTAAAGTCATGGAGAGGTCTCTTGGGAATGGTGACAATTTCCTGAGTGGGATCCTGCAGTATCTGGGAGCTTGGCCTGTGATGTAAAACTTCTTAGAAGATGGGGGTGCTTTCCTTGCAAGAGAGTCCCAGCTGGTGGTATTTGAGGGCCCTGGGTGGGGAGGGAAACCCCTCTGACCTTGGCAATTTGGTCGAACTTGCCGAAGAGCTCGTTGAGCATAAGCACCAGCTCTTTAGGAGAGCACTCGCTGGCTAACCGCGTGAAGCCCACGATGTCGGCATACAGCACGCTGCATAGGGCGAAGCGTGTTAATGGGGCCAGGGCTGCAGCTCAGGGTCCGTCCCCTAATGGGGCCAGGCTGTAGCTCAGGTCCCTCCCCTAACAGGGCCAGGCTGCAGTTCAGGGTCCCCCCCCCCCCAGTGGGGCCAGGGCTGCAGCTCAGGGTCCCTCCCCTAACGGGTCCAGGCAGCGGCTCAGGGTCCCTCCCGGCTTCCTTTCTCCTACCTGACTCCTTGGTGCCTCTTGACATACAGGCTGTGGAAGTTGTTCTCTGGCCGTGACACTTGCACCGCCTGCAGCCGGGCCATGATCTCGGCTTTCATCTCTTGGGCCAGGTAGGCAGGAAGGATGGACAAGAGGAGGTGCTCCTGGAGAAAGTCCCTACGATGACACCCCTTCTACCCTCCTGCGCCCTGTAACCAAGAGCCTCAGCCCTTCCAATTTCTCAGGCTCCCACACATTGCATCTACCCACTGGTATGTATGAGCCCCAACATTTCCAGTCCATCTCGCAAGACTCCTGGATCCCAAACTGTCTTGGTCGCTTAGGGACTGAACTCAGTATCAACATCTAAACTTGAAATCTTCCTTTAATAACTTTTATCATCATCATTATCCTTATTTGTTATTATTATTTTGAGACGGTATCTCACTATGCAGCCCTTTCTGGCCTGGAACTCACTATCTAAACCAGAGTGGCCTCAGACTCACAGATATAGGTCTGCCTTAGCCTCCCAAGAGCAGGGATGAAAGGTGTGTGCCACCAGCCACCAAACCTGGCTAAAATTTAATTTTACTATCATTGCACGATGCGTGTGTATGTGGGCGCATGGGCCACAGTGTATGGGTGGAGGTCAGAAGACAGCTTAGTGGAGACAGTTATCTCCAGCTACCTTTATGCAGGCGCCGGGAATTGAACTCATGCCTTCAGGCTTGTGCAGCAAGAGTCTTACCTCTCAGCTGTCTCACTGGGCTTCAATTTCAACCTAGCAATGATCTTCCAGGGGTGAGTGATAGTCACATTTCATACAACAGAGGAAATACTTGAGAAAGGCAAACAAATTACCCAAACCCATTCCCTAGGAAGGTGCTAGAAAACTGTTCTCTCTGAGCTGCGTCCTCTTCCCTCCCTTAGGTCCTCCTGACCTGATGCTTCTTCTCCGTGTCCAACCTCCGGCGTGAGTGCAGGGAGCTGAGAGCCTCCCGGAATGTGGCCCGCAGTGCTCGCTCCATCAGGGCCTTGTGGTACGCTCCCACCACGTTCCCACACAGGAACAACACGGCGTTTGCTGCCAACTGTGGGTAAAGGCCAGACTTGGAGAGCACACCACCCAGCGGGGCTGGGAAGTTTATCTGTATCGTTCAAGTGAGTTCCAAGAACAGGATGAAGAGAGGACCTAAGCATCTCGGGGACGATTGGTCCCGCACTATGACGTCCATGGGGTTGAGCGGGTCCCTTTCTTCCTCTCTGCGGTCTGCTGTAGACACTCGGCTGCTGGGCTAACCTGGTCACTCGGGTCTAGGTGTCTTGCATGTATATTTCCTCTCTGAGAATATTATTCTATCACGTTCACCTCCTGAGCCCATTCCACTTGCAAGACACTACTCAAGTTAGGATCGCATGCTCCACTTTTCCCTTCAGTACCTGTGGGAGAATCACGACTGATTTCCCCATGACTATAGCGCCCTCTTCTGGTAAAGGCGGGCATGGTGCACCCATCTACCAGCTCCAAGAGGTCCCTATAGGAGGTTTATCTGTGTTGGATTCTGCACTCAAAGTTGAGCCCTGCCGTGGAGTCCCAGCTCAGCAAATGCTCAGAGGATTTTTATCAGGGGTTGAGCCGGCTGTAGACTATTATCTGCACTCTTACTTTTTTGTTTCTTTTTTTCGAGACAGGGTTTCTCTACGTAAAAATGCTGGCTATCCTGGAACTCGCTTTGTGAATCAGGCTGCCTCTGCCCAGTGCCGGGATTAAAGGCGTAGGTCACCACCCAGTGACTGTTGCATTTTTACCTGTGGTAGCAGAGCCCTCTGTGAGTCAGGCTGCCACCCAAGGTACAGTCCAAGGACCAGCAGATGTGAGAGTGATGAGGTGAGGCCCGCAACAGCCGCATCCCGCATGCCCAAGGGCAACATGGCATACACGGTGAAGATGAGGAAGAGGAAAAACGACACCTGGAGAAGGGTGTGGGAAGCCGAAGGCCTGGGTTTCACCGCACAGGGCCTGAGTTTGGGGTCTCTATTCCCCTGCTTCTTAACTGTAATTCTCCTCACCTGGTCCCAGGCGCTCACCACACCCCCAGTGAACAGGAATCCATGGCCTAGCGCCAGCAACGCAGCCCATATGAGGCCGGAAAGAGGTCGTGTCCAGCGCTGCAGTTGCTGCTCCCGGGAAGCCAGCCCCAAGAGCAGAGAGAAGCCGCCCAAACCACACAGCACAGTTGTCAGGAAGCTTGGGTCTGAGGTCAGCTCCTGTGGATGAAGGATACATGAAGCAAGGCTTTGGCATTGTCACAAGGTGAGACGGAGCAAGTTAGACGCCGTTCAGATCTGCTCTGTAAAGTGTCTTCAACACCTGCACAAAGAGAAAACGGCTGCTGGGACGGCACTGTGGGGAAGGGGGTTTGCCACCAAGCCTGGTGATCTAGTTCAATTCTCAGAATCCATGAGGTGAGAGAAGAGAATTCACGCCTTCGAGTTGTTCTTTGACCTCCACATGTATGCTTTCATGTCCACACACGAACACTCCCGCCCCGCACACACACAACACCCACATACAGCTGAATAAATGAAAAAAAAAAAAAAAAAAAACAGGGCCAGACTGCTTGTGTTTTCACATTTGATTGAACCATAAGAAATTGCTGAAACCCTACTGGTTTTACCCACGAAGCCCAGCAGTCTCACGTGGTAATGGCTCCTGCCCTCTTTCTAAATCTCAGTTTTGTTGGTTTTTCTTTTTTTTTTTTCCCCCTCTTTTTAATTGTTTGCTCTTTCAGGTTTGAGGCAGGATCTCAAGGAGCTTGGACTGGCCTCCAACTCTCTGTGCTGTGATTCCAGACTTGCCTGGCTATTCCCACAGTTCTTACCGCTTAAAGGGGAAACTGTAGCATGTGCTTGGCATTCGGAGTGAATATCACCCGAATGGCTAATTTGCTCAGGAGGATCCTCCTTCCTCAAGCCATGCGCTAACTTCACAAATATTTACCTAGGCAGCCCAAGTTTCCGCAACTCCTTGCCACGCGAGCTCTGACATCTGAATACCTGCTTTCCCACTAACCCAGAAGCCCCAGTCACGGTCCCTACCCTTTATTCCCACCTTTTTCTGAACTTGGGGTAACAAGGATTAGCAATACGCAGTCCTTTTTCCCACGTTGGCTCCGAAGAGTGAAAGGAAAACCCGGAACAGAATATTTCAAATTTGGGATTGAAAACCCCCTTCCTGCCCAATATGAAAGTGGAAAAAAGAATTTTGGTGGAGGGAGGAGGGTAACTAAGCCACATCGATGAAAACTGCCTCTTGGAAGTTTGTGGGTACAGCTAACAGCCCCACATTCCCAAACCTGGAGAGAAAAAGTCAGGAAATGAATTCCCCTAGGGATGTGAGTAGAGTTTCCTCTCTGGAAAACTGGAAAATCCGGTGTTGGATTTACCGTAGAACCAGTAGAACAGTGAGATGCATCCGGGACACATTTACCTCCCAGGATAGACCTAGGGAACAAACCTAGAGGGAGGAGGGTTTGGTCACATGTGCCCAGGGTCACAACAATTCATGACGGGTCAATGCTTCTTTTCCGGTTCCCAGCAAAGGCGTTATTAACTAAAAGACCCCGCAAATCCCAGTCCTTCAAATAGTCCCAGCCCGAAGCCAGCTCCCCCCCACCCCCGCCCCTAGAGCAGGCTCCCGCACCTAGCCCATCTCTCTCACCCTGCCGCTGGCCCAGGCGACGGCTGGCAGTGCCACCAGCGTGCAGAGCACGATGACCAGAAGCAATAGTAGCAGTGGGTACTGTTGGCTCAGGCTGTAGTAGGTCTCGTAGAAGAGATCTTCGCTGGGAGGCGGCCGGGGACTGAAGAGGCGGGCCATGGTCTCCCCCGCTCTAGCCCGGAGCCCCTGCCCTGGGAACCGAGTGAATAAACCCCACTGCGCTTTTCTTCCTTTCCCGGAGCCACTCTGACCCAAGCCCCTTTTCGAAGCAATAGGATTTCCTGCCAGGTCCCCCTCAAAGGGCTCCAGCTGAATGTGACAGGGCTTCTTGATCCTTCCCACAAATCAGACCGTGGTAGTGTCCTAGCAAAAAATCTCACTGGAGGGACAGGAGTTGAACCTAACGAGAAGGGGCCCCAGAATCTCCATCAACCCATTAACTCACTGCTCTGTGTCAAGCTCCTGAAGCTCTCTCGGCAAAGCTAGGCCCCGGGAGGGAGCCTAGGTGGGTGGGCTGGCTGCAGCTCACTAGTGTGAGCCGGCTTGCTAGTGGCTCAGGGCCGAGGGCGACTGGCACTTCCCTCTTGGCGCCAAGGCCCCCTCCCACTTCCCCACGATACAGTCCGGCCCCTTCCCGTGCGGAGCGGACTCCCCTGACTGCCTCCTATGCTCAGATTGTGTTTTCTAACAACCACCTCCCCTCTTTCTTCATGTGGTCTGTGGGAGACACACGAGGTAATGGAGAGGATTAAGAGGGATGTGTCAAGATAAAGATACAGTGTTTGGAAACGGGGAGGCTGGAAAGGCTGGAAGTCATGCCTGGGAGAACGTGGGAGGAGTGCTGTCCTGGTACCAGCTGGGGCTGGGGTGCGGGTGAGGACAGAAAGGGCATTTCCTTTCCACTTTTGATCCCTCAGGTGTGTCGAAGTGTGAACTCTCCAAACTCCAGCCTTCTCTATAGATCCTTGGGTTGGTGCTCCTCTTCGTTGGACATAGTTATCAATCCTTGGACTCAGAGAATCAAAAATGCTCCCATGCCTAGAAAGCAAGGTGCGTGGAGTCTGTGCAGTGGGAGTCTGGATGGTCTAGAGAGCCTGGAGCACCTTTGAATTTCCAAAGACCCTCTTTCACCAGGGCCCCAGGCCCAGTGCTCAAAATCCAGGAGAAAAGGGGAATGGCGACTTCTATCCCGTCAGTTCAGCCTTAGGGTGGCGCCAGTACTGAGCTCTGGAGGAAGAGCTCCACCCTGAGATTGGCGCACCAGAGAGCCAAGGCTCTGCAATTCCTTCCTGACACTGGCTGGGCCCTGACCTTATATGCCAAGAGGTTGCCTATAACTAGTCCCCAGAGCCCCCCCTTCCTGCTTCGGCCAGGCGGCAGCACCATCTCCTCTTCCCTCCCCCACCTCAGACTCACTCATAGTTAACATATTGTGTTTATTGACTTTTGGGAAATAGGTCAAAAATCGGTTTGGGTGTAGGTCTAAATGCTCTCAAAGAATCTTGGGGAGCACGGAAAGTGGCAATGATCGTCTTAGTCGTTCCGGGATCCTTACAATGTGCTTTAATTCTCTCTATACTGGCTTTAGACTCCTGCGGGTATTCTCCGAAACCTACTCATGGTGGGGCTGCCAGCCCCTGCCCCTGCCGCGCTGTGCTGGGCTCTTCTTGGGTAAAGCAGTTCTTACTTTCATGCAGTTGTTGTTTCCAATCTGCACTCCACAACAGTTCTCCAAGGTAACAGACTGTGACCCTTTGAAAGAAAAGGAGGTGGTGGTGGGAAGGTTCAGCAGTTAGAAAGAAGCGTTTAACAAGCACTTTGGGGAGAGAGGCAGCAGCGACACCTTGTGTTCGCCCTGGGGAGTGCAAATGCAGGGTCTTAGCCTGCTAGTGACTGTGAGCTGGGCCCCTCCAGAGTTAGAAGAAGCTGAAGAGGAATAGCGCCTGCTGTTTGGGTGTCTTTGATGGAAGACCCTCTGGATTGCCTTAGCAATAAAGGAACTGTGAAGACGCATGGATCTGGTGCTGGGGAGAGACAGCAGACCCCAGGGCAAAACCAGGTTATGTGTGACTTCAGTGGGATCTTCACCTAATGGATATCAGGTTCCTCATGTCAGGTTCCCTAGCCTTGGGCTGGGACTATTTGAAGGACTGGGATTTGCAGGGTCTTTTAGTTAATAATAACCCAACCAATGAGAAGGGTTGGGTTAGATGATCTCTAGTCCTTTCTTCCCCCCTCTGAGGTATCTCGACTCTATCTATAGGTGTTGAAGAAGAAGGTCATGGGAAAGTAAAGCGGGGGAGAGCAATAGAGGTTGAAGAATGGGTACCTGCTGTTGGATTTGGTCCTGGAGCCCAGGAGGTATCTTGTCTTTCATCTCCCTGCAAACAGCACAGAGTTCTCAGGCTTTCTATTCAAGAGGCTAGTTCCATCACTGTGGACCCCTCAACCCCAGCTTTTCCCTGGTAAGGGGGCATACTCTAGTCTTGCCAATGTCTCACCTGATTCCTTTGGGGGTGAGGACCGGGAGCCTCAGGGAAGTTTGGGCTGGGTGTTGGGCCTCTGGAGGGTAGAGTGTGTGGCATTTGGGGAGTTCCAGCCCCCGTATCCGAAGATGTCGCTGCTGTTGTGGCACGCCCAATTGGTTCTTGCTGTTCTCTTCCCTCCGTAAGGCTTATGCCTTCTTCAGGAACCGGTTTGGAGCCCCTGTCCAGGTGCAGGTTGTCCAGCATGTCAGAAACTGAGCTTTCCCCAGGGTCATTCATTTCTGTACCTCTCTGGCCTGACAACTCTCTGCTGCTGTTTCTGTGCTGAGACAGATACTGCTTCACCTGCACAGACAAGAGTTGAGGAGCCAGAGTAAGTACCAGGGATTATCTGCTGAGTCTGTTACCTGGAGACTCAGGGGTGGGTGGGGATGATGGTCAAGGATTAAAGAATGGTGACCGGCAGCGAAGATACATCAGAAAGTCAAAGGGGTCACATGTGCTGTACCTGACTACCTCCTGGGTGGGAAGGCAGTTTTGGAAACATACCTCGGAGACAGCAGCATCTACCTTGTCCTGTACCTGGAGGTAGGTTTCATCTGTTTTTGGACGGCAATCTGAAAGACATCAGAGTGAGTGGCATGCAAGCAGGACAAGCTTCCTGATCCTAGCTGCTAGAGAAACCCCCAACTCACCCTGGAAGGTTGGCCTGTCCTTGGGCTCAGAACTCCAGCAGCGTATCAGTAACTCCTTCAGCACTTCCAAGCCAGGAGTCTCAGGGCTGGGGGGAGGCAGCTCTGTCAATGAGGGTCGAATCTGCCTTTCACAAACTGCGTCACGAACTAGTGATGTTTGGTCTACCACTGGAGTGGGGGTGATAACAATAAGGGATCCATGATATGAGGTCACAGCCCATGGACAGAAGCAGGGAGTGTCAGCCCAGGGAGAGGTGGGGTGGGAAGAGGGCAGCTGAGTAGGAAAAAAGGTGAAAGGCGGGGCTCAGGGCTTTAGGTGCTTCTGGCACCCGGGGTAAGAGTCTCAGAGTCTCTCTAGAGTCTTACACTCAGCTTCTCTTCCAGCTAGCACAGCCCACGCAAGGATCCCAAAGCTGCACAGAAACAAAATGGAGGCTTAGCTGGCCCCTGGGAAGACCACTTTCCCAGGCCATATCCTTTAGAAGGGCCTAAATAGTATAGAAATTTGGGATGTTTTAGACTGGATATCTTACCTGTAGATGTCACTGGCTGGGGAAGCAGGCCGGTTGACATTAACCAATAGCTCTGGGGCCAAGTAAGATAGGGTACCCCCTGAATCCCTGGACCTGGACCTGGACGTGGACCCTGACCCTGACTGTGACCCTCCCTGAAATGTGGACAGGCCAAAATCTGCTAGCTGTAAGGGAAAGGAAGAGTGAGGTATTAGATGAAGGGGCCAGACGTTCTCCAAAATTTCCCCCTTCTCTCCTCCAGGAGATGCAGCCTCAGCTTTTTGAAGGTGGTCTTGGAGGACCAGAGGGAAAGGTGGAGTCAGTGAGACTCCAGGAGGAGATCTAAGATGCTGATGGGAAGGCCTGGGTCTAGGTGTGTCAGAATTTCTGGGATAAGTCAACCTGGGTCCATGGGGGTGGGGGGCTTTGTGGAATAGGCTTATGGAACTGACCCAGGTGGGTAAGGAGGGCCTCTGTCACCTGGTATGACTGACTAGAGATAAAATTCCTAGTTGACCTGGGCAGTCTTCTATTCAGAGGGACAGGCCGAGGGTACTCAACATGTTCCAAGCTTGCAGTAGGGTGTAGATGGGCTGACCTTGGCGTGGAGCTCTGGGTCCAGCAGCACATTGGAAGGCTTGAGGTCCCGGTGCAGGAGCACTGGGTTCAAGCTGTGCAGGTAACACATCCCTAGCACCACTTCATGCAGCAGGCGACAGAGGAGCGGCCAGGGTCGGGGACACGCGCTCTGTAGCAGCCCTGCGAGGGAGCCGTTCTCCATGAAGACTGTCACCAGAGCCGGCCCAGATATGTAATCCCACTCGAGGTCCTCGGTGACCCCAAGCAGGAGCAGCACGTACTGGCTACGCAGATTCGCCATAGCTTTCACCTCCCTGGATATCACCTTCCTACACTCCGAAAGGGAGTCACAGTCACAGTTGGGTCGGACCCTGGAAGGATCCCCCCCCCCCGCCCCGCCTTGCCCCTTGACCAGATCCTGCCTACAGCTGGGGTCACTCACGAGTTCACGATCTTGACTGCCACATCATGGCCCCAAGTTCTGTGTTGTGCCCGGAACACTGTACCAAATCCGCCATAGCCCACAAGCCTTGGGTTCATCAGTTCATCACAGGGTACAAGAGAGGCCGAGGCACCACAGCTCCTTGAGGGAAGGTTCTCATCCAGTAGGGGAGCCCGTCAGCACATTCTCCGTCTCCCAAGTTCCGCGGCTGAGCGTGGGCAGCGTGTCACCCTCCCCCTGCGGCCCACCCAGCCCCCAGCTTTGTCCCCTGCCTCAGCAAAGGCGCCCTCTGGGTGTGTCCCCCGGTATCCTGTGTGGCTGTGTCAGAGACTGAGGATCCATGGCACTCACCATAACTTAGCAGAAGACATCAGGAGTTAGCGGCTTCCAGGAGTTGTGTGCACAGAAAGCGGGAACGACGGTGACAGCTGGGGGTTTGGGTTGAGAGGAAGACAGCGCCTGCAAAGGGAGAGATCTATTGGTCCAGGCACGGAGGTCCAGGCCCCGAATTCCACTTCCCAGGACGTTCACCCAACCCTACTTTGAATGAGTGATCGAATAACTTCCTTCTTAAGGAGGTCCCGCCCCCTGGGGTGGAGCAAACGAAAACTTGGGGCTGTTTATTTCTGTGCACCTGTCTCGAGTAACTGGGCATTGGGTGTGTCACAAGAAAAAGAAAGAAAGAAAGAAAGAAAGAAAGAAAGAAAGAAAGAAAGAAAGAAAGAAAGAAAGAAAGGAAGGAAGGAAGGAAGAAAGAATTCTCACTTCCCAGGAACGCACAATTGGCTCTCCACAACAGCCCTGTCTCTCTTGGAACTAACTCTGTGTTCCTAGCTCCATCACCTGCCAAATTGGGTTGAAGGGAGAAGGAAAATTTTATGGTCTTAGACTCAGCTCTTCTAAGATTATGGGTAATGCTTCTAATAAGGCTTGCCTTGGGTCAGGTACACATAACGTCTTCCTTAATCTCGGATCAACCTTATTTACCTTTCTATAGACCAGGAAACACAAGCACTTTCAGTTTAAGTACCTTGGTCAAGTAAGTATGGAAATAGCTTAGAACCTGGCTCTTCTTCGCCAAGCTAGCCCATATTTATTTATTTAAAAAAATTTTTTTTGAGACAGGTTCTCTCAACGTAGCCCCGGGTGGTCTAGAATTTGCTAGATAGACCGGGCAGACCTCAGACTTACAGAGGACCATCTGCCTCTGCCTCTAGAGTAAGTTCTGGGGTTAAAGGTGTATGCCACCATGTTTGGCTTATTTATTTTTAAAATTTATTTCTCTGTGTGCACATCCATGTATGTGGGGGTGGGATGCATGTAATGGTGTGTGTACGAAGGCCAGAGGACAGCCTCTGGTGTCTGAGATGTTCTCTGCCGTGTGGAGCAACGCTAGCCATCCTGTGGAGGTTCCGGGATTCTCCTGTCTCTGCCTTTTATCTTATTGTAGGAATACCAGGATGACAGTCACGGACTACTGTCCCCAGTTTCACTTGGGGTGTAGGGATTTGAATTCAGGTCCTCATGTATGCACGACATGAGCTTTACCCACTGAGCTGTCCTTCCCCCAAGCTCAAGCTAGCATATTTTTTGCAAATGCCTCTGGGCCATATAAGTCTGCCTGTGGTGCAGGTGACTGAAGAAGGTGTGAGCTTGTAGCGATGCACTGGAGGGGCCCCTCCCTGAATTCCTGCTCAAGTCATTATTAATTGCTCTTCTTGCTGATGGAAGCCCTTGGCACTGGTCGGGACGTGTCTGCTCTGTGAACTGCTCTGTGGAGCTGGAGGGCTCAAGATCTATCCCAGGGTATTGCAATCAGGTTAAGTGTGCTGGCCCTGCCATAGACTACTGCCATTGCGGTGTCCATTGCGCAGATGCGACCGACTTGGGGCTTCCCACTCTTTCCCGTGCATGGCCCCTCCTGCATGCAAATACTCTGATTCGTGTTCCTGATAAGCATATACTCTGGATGAAGGCTTTTCAAGACTCCGGAGTGCCAGAGCACCGGGTAACAGGAATGGTGGTGCACAGTTTTAATCCCAGTATTTAGGAGGCAGAAGCAGGTAGACCTCTAGGGCCAGCCTGGTCTCCATAAGGAGTTCCAGGCTAGCTAAGGCTTCATAGCAACATCTTGTCTCAAAATAAATAAGTCAAAAAGAATTTTAGGTAGGGGCTGGAGGCGGCTGGAGTTGAGAGTAGAGGGTGCTCTTCCAGAGAACCCAGGCTTGATTCGCAGTGTCCACATGGTGGCGCACAACCGTATTTAACTCCAGTTCCAGGGGATCTTACATCTCTTCTGTCCTCTGCAGGCACCAGCATGCTTGTGGTCACAGACAAGTATGCAGACAAAAGGCTTATACACATAAGAATAAATCTAAAAAAGAACCGAAAGTAGACAAATAAGCCTGTATTTTATCACTCCATGGCATGGTTGTGACTGGAGACTGAAAAACTGAACAGTGAGCCCTACCGATCAGCCTTTTACAGAAAAATCTAATCCCAAGCCAGCACCTTGGAACAACTTCACAGTTACTCCCCATTCCTTCCTCCCAGCCCCCATAAACCGCTGCAGTTCTCTCTCTCTGTAAATCCGAACACTTCAGGTACCTCATAAAAGACGAACAATATGCCATTGATCCTTGCATGACTGTGTTACCTCATTCAGCACAGTATCTCCAAGGTTCATTATCTTATGGGATGTTTCTGAATTTTATTAAGGTTAAATATCGGTAAAGGTTGGAAATATTCCGGCATGCTGTATACTGCAGCTTTCTACCTGTTTGCCCGTTCTGGACATTTGGGCAGTTTTCTCTTCCGGACCCCGAGGATGATGGCGCACGACACAGTAGGTTGTCGTGCAATAGCTGTCTGAACGCTGCTAGGCGTCTTTCAGACACAGGGCTACAAGTGGAAGTGCTCTCTGCAGATTCTGCTTGGCGTGAGACAGGGGTCCTTCTCGCCATCATGGGTTTGGGAAGATGCTCACTGCCTTGGCTTGAACGCGCTGGAGAACTTCCTCTTATTGCTACATCTCAGAATTTCTGAAATCTTTAGTTTACGTCTGTTAGGAATTTCTTTTTTTCCCTTTTCCTTTT